TGGGTAGGGTCCCGCTCTCTGCTCTTCTCCCTTGATGGTCCTAGGGACCTCCGCTCCTAGACTGAAAAGTTAATCACTCCCTTCCTTGCCTTTGGTTTTGTCCCAGAAACAACATAAAATATTTTTCTTTACTCAGCTACTGTTGTGTGCCATCGAGTCAGTTTCAACTCATATCGACCCTGTGTAGGGTCTCTGAGAGTGGCTGGTGGGTTTGAACTGCCAATCTTCCAATTTGCAGTCCAGTGCTTATCCCACAGCAGCACATTAGGGCTCCTAGTAAGCCTGCCTTTTGCTAAGAGTAGAAATGATAACTCCTAGATCAAGACCGAAATGAATTCCTCAAAATCAAGATAAAATAAACTTTAAGCCTATGTATTGAACATATATACTATAGGTTTAAAACTAGGTTAACTATTATTTGCTATTAAGTGCTGTCGAATAGGTTCCAACTCAGAGTGACCCTATATAGGGTTTCCGAGGAATGGCTGGTGGGTTTGAACTGCTGACCTTAAGATTCAAACTGACCTTGTGGTCCAGTGCTTACTCTATAACACCACACCAGGACTCCAGGTTAACTACTATAAGGCCTTGAAAATAAAAGAAAGTCTTAGCTACTGGGGGTTATATGAAAGAACCAAAAGTTAAGTGACAATATTTTTTTTTTTAAATCACTTTCATAACTGTGATGGTTAATATTATGTGTCAACTTGACTGTTATTCTCTGGTTTCACAAACACTGTGGAATCATCCTCCATTTTGTGATCTGATGTAAGCAGCCAGTCTGTTGGAAGAGGAGTTTCCCTGGGGATGTGACCTGCATCCAGTATATAAATGGTTGTACTGGCAAAGCTTGCTCTTTCTTGATCCTGCAATCTTTTCAATGACTGACCTCCAGTTCTTGGTATTTAAGCCAGCAGAGGCCTCCAGCCTATCACAGTTGTAGCCCCTGAAAGCATGTGAGCCATCAGATTGTCCACTGACCCATGGATTTGAGGCTTGCTAGCCCCAACAACTGAATATGCCATGTCATTTAAATAAATTTCTCTTCGTATTCATCTATGTGCGTTTCCCTGGATTTGCTCTGCTAGTGAACTTAAAGTTAGACAATAACTATAGCTGCAGAATAAGCACTGTACTGTTAAATGAAAGGTCAGCCGTTCAAATGCACCAGTCGCTCCTAGGAAACCCTATATAACTTCACTACGAGTCAGAACAGATTCAACAACAACATAATAAAAAAAAGTCCCTTGTATTTCAGCTGCTGGCCAGCATTACCACAATTTCCTTGAATCCAATATTTAAGTCCAAACTACTATGATTTTCATTCTACAATTTTAGTCAGGTTTTATCTGTTGGTCAATTGGTTTCTCTGTATACAACGTTTCTGTATGCCAGGCTGAAGGTACCACATAATCTAACATGACTAGGGTTGCAATTTGCAGGTGATCATAGGGATGCCACAGGATCAGGCAGCATTTTGTTCTGTCATACATGAGATCTCCGTGAGTCCAAAGCCAAGTAGACAGCAGCTAACAACATGGTTAGGTATTTAAAGGATTTAATTGGATTTAAAGCAGCAACACAGGCACTTTCTCTTCAGTAACTGAGTTTTGATTTATTTACACTTGAAAACGGGATGTATTTGTGCATCTAATTTCCAGGGAAAGTGAAAGATCAGACATATTTGTTTGCTCTTAATGGAATTTATTATTTCAATAAATCAATACCTACAAATATCTTTACCTTGAATGGGAACATACAATTATGACATAAGAGCATCTTATCCATTTTTTATCTTAGAGACTTGGTTCATGATGGTATTTAGCTATCTCCCGTCTCTGACTCGAATCTATGAACCTTTGATACTTAAGAATGGAGATACTTATATCTCAGACACAATTTTATTGGAATAAAATACATATTAACCTGCCTGTATTTCAACAAATACAAAATGCATACAATGTAACATTCCTAAAAGAAAAAAACTGAGTCATTTTATTTGATATTTATTGCATTCTTTTAAAAGAATCCATCCCATGAATCATAGAAAAAAATCCAGTTACAAAAGAGACGGGACATATTTGTGGATCCAGGGAACAAAGTTTGACACCCTTGTGTAAACACCAGGAAAGCTTGGTCTTCCACATCCATATCCCCAGCTAACAATGCCAGTCAAAATCCATTTTCCATCACTTTTTCTTCGACAAGATAAAGGTCCACCAGAATCTCCCTGCACAAGAAGATAATATAAATATAAGGTGCATTTGTCCCATGATAATCAAATTTACTCACTAACATATCCAATGCACTGTATTCGAAACTGCCTTTCTAATCAGTTTTTGCTTGGCTAATCACTATGCAGTTTGAGAAATGGCAAGCAATAATGTGGAACTTCTTATGTCATTGTAGGTGTGTTCTTCCTACAGTTAAACAGCTGTATTCATTTTGAAAAACTTGATTCTTTAGACTCAGAGCAACCTTGAGAGATCCTTGCAGGAGAAAACAATTACCACAGACAACAAACAGCAATTATTATAATGTTGTTAAGCACTGCTGTGTCAGTTTCTACTCATAGCAACCATTACATAGGGTTTCCGAGGGGCGGCTGGTGGGTTTGAATCGCCAACCATGAGGCTCAAGCTAACCTGGTATGGTGCTGTAGGAAAAGCAATGGATTGCTAAACATAAGGTTGGCAGTTAAAACTTACCACTTGCTCTTCAGAAACCCTACATAGGGTTGCTGTGAGTCAGAACTGACTCAATATTACTTAATAACAACAATTATGTTGTAAATTTTCTTTGGGGTCATTTAATTCTGACCACCACCTTAGGAGATAGGGTTACTTTGGTGGGTTTGCCTCTATCTCCTGGCCATGCAACTTTAGAGGATGACTCCTGACCCAAGGAGGGAAACTGAGACCCTGCTTAGTCAGATCCAACAAAGAACTCTAAGGATCACTGGCAGTTGTCATACACAAACACCCCCTCTTTAGAGTCCCTTCTACTCCACAAAGCAAATGCTTATGTCATTCAACAAGTAGCATAATTCCTACAGTATCACTCCTCTAAATTGTAATGTCTGGTTTTTATTTTCCTAATTTGGAGGGAGAGAAAAGCACTTTATGAGACTCTAGGATGCAGATTTTAAAATGCTCCAAATTGGCCTCTGTGTATGTGGAACAGTGCTCTTCAACTAACCAGCTGCCAAAAGCACACACAACATTACAGCTTTAGCATAAGAGAGACAAGGAATCTAATTCCAGCTCAAGCATCCTTTTACTAGGTGTGTGCCCTTGGGCAATTTATGTAACATTTCTGTGCCTCAGTTTTCTGTTCAATAAAATGGAGAGGAAAGAATGATGTAAAGGAATGAGATACAGTACTCAGCACAAAACAGGGGTCCAGTAGAGAGACATCTTTGTTGGGAGTTTTTGTAGCTTAGTAGTTAAGGTTATGGAAAGCAGCGGGAGGGGCTGCCTCCTACTGCCCTCCTCATCCTCTAGGCTGTCATACCTATCTGATACATTCTAATCTGAGTGTCTGAGAAATGTTCCCTCAAAGGTGACCTCCAATTTTACCACACTCAGGGGACATACCACAGGTCTACAGATGATTGTCCTCTTTCACCTCTCCCACATCCTTTTAATTTTCCCCAGCCTTTGCCTCAAGACTACCACTTGGAGGTCAGTTTGTCCACTGTGGGGACTTGTGTGTTGCAGTGATATTGGAAGCTATGCCACTGGCATTTTAAAGATCAGTAAAGTCACCCACGGTGCACAGGTTTCAGCTGAGTTTCCTGATGAAGTCAGACTAGGAAGAAGAAGAAATGGACAACTTCCAACTACTTAATCACTGAAAACATTATGGGTATAAATGGAACACCGACAGCATCATAATATTGAATACTGAAACATGATGAAGAGCACCAGAATATTTTCAGATACTGGAAGATGAGCACTTCAGGTTGGAAGGCACTCAAAAGATGACTAGGGAAGAGCTGAATCCACACAGTAGAGTTGACTGTAATGATGCAAATGGAGTAAAGCTTTTGGGATCTTCATTTGCTGATGGGGCACAACTCAAAATGAAGAGAAACAGATGTAAACATCCATTAATAATCAAACATGAAGTGTACAAAATATGAATCTAGGAAAATTTGAAATTGTCAAAAATAAAATGGGATGTATAAACATTGATGGCCTAGGCATTAGTGAGATGAAAGGAACTGGTATGGGCCATTTTGAATTAGACAATTATGTGGTTTACTATGCTGGAAATTACAAATTGAGGAGTAGCGGCATCACATTCTGTCACCAAGCAACCAAAAGAACATACCAAGATCTGTACTAAAGTACAACACCTAAAAGGAAGATCCGTTAATATAACTTTATTCAAATTCATGCACCAACCACTAAAGCCAGTGATGATGAAACTGAAGAATTCTACCAACTTCTTCAGTCTGAAATTCATCAAGCATGCAATCAAGATGTATTGATAATTATTGGTGATTGGAATGCAAAGCTTGGAAACAATGAAAAAGGATCAGTAGTTGGAAAATATGTCCTTGGTGACAGAAATGATGCTGGAGATCACATTATAGAATTTTGCAAGACCAATGACTTCTTCATTGCAAATACCTTTTTTAAACAACTTAAAAGACGACTATACACATGGACCTCACCAGATGGAATACACAAAAATCAAACTGACTACACCTGTTGAAAGAGATATTGGAAAAACCCCATGTCATCAGCCAAAACAAGGCCAGGGGCAGACCATCAATTGCTCATATGCAAGTTCAGGCTGAAGCTAAAGAAAATTAAAACAAGTCCACAAGTGCCAAAATATAACTTTGAACATACTCCAC